ATGTGGAAAAACAAGTACAATCAAAAGATGTCATTGAGATTAAAAGCTCTTTACTGTCACCAAGTTTAATAATTTCCTTAGAAGTATTTCTTCACTATACTCACTCTACTTTCCTTTTGATTATACCCAGAAAACAACTCTGAATTTAATGCTTTACTTGATCATGTAGTAGAAATTAAAAAAATGTTTATTTGTTGAATTAGTTCTATGCAATTAACACCATCAACACTATTTGTATACCAATTAAACTGAGGAATTATAAAACATTTTAAACTTTTATAACATTGGTGAATTGTTACATTCATTTGTTGAATTTTATAATAAATTTCAAAAATTACTTCCCAATTTATGCCAACAAATGTATTGAAACCATACAGACATGTATTGATTGTCTAACTTCATTGTCTACTCAAAGTTCAGTGTTTGTTAAAACAAAGTCAGGATTTATTTTGCAAAGAAAAAAGATTTTTAAGCCAAATATAAAAGGGTAAATGCTTTCTACAATGCAAATCATTAATAAGACTATGGCTTCCATATGGTAAATATACTGTAGTATAATTTGATTTTATATCTAAGTTTGATTTGCCTTATACTGTAGGATTTACTTTTAAAATATATGTAAGTTCAATATATTAGATATTGGGGCTAGTGTTGTGTCACTGGGAGTTAAGCCCCTACCTGTGATGCCAGTATCCTATGTGAGCGCCCATTTGAGTTTTGTTTGCTTCACTTTCCAGCTAGCCCTCTGCATACGTATCTGAGAAAGCGGTGGAATATGGCCTGAGTTCTTGGTGATGCCATCCAAATAGGAAATCCTGATTAAGTTCCTGACTCCTGGCCTCAGTCTGTCTTAACCCTGGCTATTGTGACCATTTTGGGAGTAAATCAGTGGATGGAAGATTCTCTCTCAGGCTCTATTTCCTCCCTCCTCTCTCTCTCTCCTCTCATTGTAATTCTGCCTTTGAAACATGTAAATAATTATTTAAATATATAAATATATATAGTTATGGATAGCGTATTTATTTTTAAAAGTAAAGTTTCTATGGATGCTTATAATCTCACAAATATAGATGGAAATACTGATTATCAATATATTCCTTAGCATTTACAAAACTCTTTAAAATATATTATTACACTCTATGGAGTTTCTAAACTGAATGGGTTCAATTATTGCAAAATCGCAATTCGTAAGTAAATTTTTACTCTAAAATTAAAGGACAGTATAAGTATTCCAGTTGCAGCTACAATTAATGTTGAATTAATGTGGCAAAAAATGGTAAATTCTGATAGTCATTACAAGAACATGTAATTTTTAATTTATTTTAAATTTGTTTTTAAATTTTAAATTTTAATTTTATTTTTTAATTTATGTTTTTAGTTTCTTTGGGAATTCAGATTCTAAGTAAATATCAAAGTTTCCAATGTATCTATTTGATATGTATTTGAAATCTCTATATTCTTATATATGAAACGAAAGCAACTCACAAAGTCAAGTTTTTGACTATCACCTGGATTTTAACAGAAATCTAGTGACACTATAATCACATAGAAGCCTCTTTTCTGCTGTGACAAATAGTATGTAATTATGGTATCAAAGACAACAATGACTGGGGTGTTGAAATACAGCACATCCCTAAAGCTATGCAAATTACATCTGTTCACCCAGGATTCCACAGTAGTCCCTAATACTGCGGTTACTGCAATATCCGCTTAAGTGTCCTAATTTTTCTTTTTACTTATTCCCTGTAAACCAATAAACTTTGTAAACTGGGGTTGAGAAGCCAAGACACAAGCAGTTTGTTATATAGAAACTGGAGAATGCTGATTAACATTTCACACAACGGATCCCAAATAAAAGTACCATCTTAAAAGACTGGAAATATTGCTGTTAGTTTTTAGAGATAGCTGATTCTAAAGAGAAAAAAAAATGGATCTGATCATGTTAAAGGTATCTTTAACCTGTCAAGATTTTTAAATATTTTGTGAAAATAGTATAGGCAGAGAAAAGAATTTCACCCAAACCACTGTAGTAACAGGGTCAAAACTGGGGAGAATACCCGTTCTTGTGTCCTTCAGAAGACAAAATTTCAGGACAGAACTCAACATTTTTTCCAGGTCCAAGAATAGAAGTCTCTCTGGAGCATTTTGCAGTAACTCATCAATACTTTGAGAGTCACAATGAAGCATTGCTCCTTCAACGGTTATTTCATTATTTATTAGCAGTTAAGCCACACCTATTCACTAAAGCATGCTTAATCTAAAACAACATTTCTAAGAACAAAGCCATCATAGTTCATTATTTTGTAACACTTGAATTATCGCCATTACATTTTAATCAATTACGAGTGAAAGACCTTTTTGATAAAGTTAGCCAGTTTGAATAGTCTGTGTCTGTAACAAAGGTTTTGAACCCATTTTTTTTCCATCTTAGAATGTGTTTTCAGTATAAGATTCAATCTGATTGAAGCCCGAAGTTGTCCATTTTCTGTATGACAAATGTATGACAGAATCTTGCAGGGCAGACACCACGTTGTCCTACGAGGGTGCAGACTCGCAGTATTTCCTTGCTTCACGCTAGCATCACACACATGCTTGACAAGGGTCAGTGCTCAAAGGCCAAGCCGTTACCACCCCTGCCTTAAACACAAACAGAACTGCTTTTTTATTTCAAAAAAAGATTTTATAACAGTTTGAATTATATCCTGCACAACATCATCATAATTATTATTTTTCCTAGTTTTTGTCTCTGACACATTGAAATATGTCATGTTCGCACTCAGGAGTTTTTCAAAACATCGGCTCTGGCTTTCAGGCAGCTTCTGGTTGGGTAGGGTAATTCCTGTCAAGTTCATAACCAGAATGGCGTGTGCAGTGTCCCCATTTTCCCATCTTTCACCCAAGATATATACTTTATACCTTTTAAAGGAGTTTCTGTTGCATTTGCTAAATAATGTCATTCTATTATTTTTAATTTTGTTTTTAATTGACACGTAACAATATATTTTTATAGCCTATAATGTGTTTGCATTCACGTACACATTTTGTAATGATCAAGTCAGAATAACTGGCATATCCATATTCTGAAATATTTATCATTTAGTTTTAATGAAACCAATGAAAGTTTTTCTCCTGTAGTTATTTAGAAATGCCTCATGCATTTTTGTTAACATAGGATACTAAAAGTAACTTCTGCTAACAGTGTGTTGTACCACCCACTGCCTGTCTCCTCCCTCTTTATCCTCTCTGGCCTCAGTTACTTTTGTACTCTAATTCTAGATCAACTTTTCTAGATTGCATGTGTGAGTAATGTCATGCCACATTTGTGTGTTTTTTTGTTTGTTTGTTTTTGTTTTCTTTGTGTGCGTGTCTGGCTTTCTGGCTTGTTCGATTTCACACACACCCTTCCAACCTTCCCCCTATCTTCCCTGGTCCACCACCTTGCTTCAACCAACACCCCTGCCTTGAGTCCGTCCACATTATTGCAAATGACAAGATTTCATTCTTTTTTGTGGATGAGTAGTATTACGCTGTGTATATAATGTCTTTATCCATTCATCATTTGTGAACATTGGAAGTATATCTTGTGAGTAGGCTATAATATGGCAGTGCAGAGATCTCTTTAACAAGTTGGTTTCATTGGATTTGGCTATACCATTTGTGGTATTGTTGGATCCTAAGGCTGTTCCTTTTCCATGTTTTTCACCGGTGATGGTTGACGTTTCCCTTTTCTCCACACCCTCACCTACATTTATTATTATTATTTTTCTTTCTTGGTAACAGCCAGTCCAACTGGAGTGGCTGATATCTCCTTGTGACTTTGACTTGCATTTCCTTGATACCGAGCATTTCCATGCACCCAATGACTACTTGTGCACCTTGCTTGGACAAGCATCTGCTCTGATTTTTGGCCAATTTCTACTCAAATTATTTGTGGATTTGGCTACTGAGTTATTCGAGTTCAATTGTAAGTTGGATATTAAATCTTTGTCAGATATATAGTTGGCAAATAGTTCCCCTCATTCTGAATGCTGTCTTTCCATTCTACTGATTGTTTCTTTTGCTATATAGAAGCTTTTTTTTAAGATATTATGCCATCAATGTCTTTTCACTTTTCTGATCTGTTTTAGAAACTTTACTCAAAAACTCGTTTCCCATGTTAAATGTATGAAGTTTTTTCCTATGTTTTCACCTAGTAGTTTTATAATTTGGGGGTTACAATACATTTGTTTAATCCATTTTCCACCGATTATAGTGAGAAATGAGATCCAGTTTCATTTTTCTACTTGTAAATATCCAAGTATTTTGAAAATGTTTTGTTATTTCCTCATGTGTTCTTGGCATCTTTGTCAAATATTACTTGTCTGTAATGAGTGACTCTGATTCTGAACTGTATTCTGTTTCAATGGCCTAGGCTGGCATATGCTATTTTGGTTATGATAGCTTTGTAATATATTTTTAAGTCAAGTAGTGCAATGCCTCTAGCTTCTTTCTTTTTACCCAGATTGCTTTGGCATTTGGGGGACTTTCGTGATTTCTTATGAATTCTAGGGACTGTTTTTTTTTTCTACTTTCTGGAGAATATCATTGTAGATCACTTTAGATAATATGAACTAAATGAGTTTATTCAATACAATGCCAAAGGCTGTGAGATAAATTTTCGAAAAAACTCATTTGTTAAAAAGTAAGACTTATTCAGAGTTCTTTGTATTCAAGAAACTAGATAAAATTTATTTTGGTTTGCACAGTAAGTAATACAAAATTGTGCTCCCTATTTTCCCGTTCAAAAGTATTTAACCATTTCTCTGTGAAAATTAAAAAAGTTTCTGAAGCTATCATGTCCATATATCTAATGAATATTTATCTTATTACTTCTTTGAATCAAAGGGAAATTAGTCACCCTGCATGCAATAGATTCAAACTAATGCCAAATAAAAATAAAGTCATCCGTTGTTGATCTGATTACTCAACTTCTGGGGTTTTTCTTTTGTCTCTTTTCTCAGAATGGACTCAATGCTCTCCATCTGGCTGCCAAAGAAGGCCATGTGGGGCTGGTTCAGGAGTTGCTGGGAAGAGGCTCTGCTGTGGATTCTGCCACTAAGGTGATTTATCTTCCTAAGAAAACAGGAAATGACTTACAGCTTGTTTGCAGTGTATATTTCAAAGTTTACTGGAATATCAAGATTCTTAACTACAAAAGCTCCATTAAATGTTGCAGAGTTTCAATTGCTTCACTTAAAGACAGCGAACAAAAGACTGAAGAAACCTATACACCGATTTTCTAGAACTTTATCTTCTCTGTTCTATTTTACCAAGGATTCTAGATTAACACACATAATAGCACATCTTGAGGTTCAATAAAAAAAAAAACTGATCTGGTAAACTTCTGAATGGAAATGAACAACTGATTTTTCTGAATCAGTTAAAGCTATACATTTCTTAATGTATTTATCTTGGCATGAGAACGTAGGATTATTTTTTATACTAATGGAAAAGAAATTTTGGATTTTGAATTGGATTTTTAGGGCAAAATTAAAATTCTATCACTATAATACATATTGATAAAGAAAAGTTGACTTGATGTTAAAGAAATGTATAAGATATTTGATAAACCAGACATGATTGCTCACTTACTGATGCTGTTTTTGATTTTCAATCTGTTGAGTATTCATCTCAATAACAGAGAATTTTTAAATGATTACATCTTTTATCTTTTGAATATGAACTTTTGTTTGGATAAATCAAGTAGCTGATCAGAACCTAGCTTGCTGATAAGGGCTGAGAAGTGAGAATATGACTTGGGAGATACAGAAAGAAAATTTAGACATCCCACTCTGGCTGCAAGTATTAGTCTTATAAGCAGTGAAATCCAAAGAGTTTGGAAATAAACTAGAAATATGGTCAGTTAACCATTTTTAAGACTTTATACAAACCTGGTAAGATGTTCATTGATTTTGCATATGCTAAAGTAAACCAATACCATTTCTAAAAGAATTTTTTAAAAAGCACAAAAACTCTACAGCAATTTCACACAAGTTAAAATAGGCATATTTTATTGAAAAATTCATTACTTGGAACATTGAAAGAAAATACTATTATTGACCTTTCTTTGAGTATATCAAATAAGTCTTGAATATTTAAAGAATATTAACTTGAATGCAGATCAATTTACCTCATCAAAATGCCTGCATTTCACATATAAATATATTAACTTGACACCTTTTATTCTTTTTCATTTAATTTAATTGATATTTTAAATATAATTTTTACTTACAGAGATCAAAGTTCAGAATTTTCAAGGTGAATATCTCAATTAAAAAAAGAAAACTGAATCACTTTAATATAAATTGAGTGGTTAATGGTCCTATGGTGAGCTGGTGGTATAAAAGAAAAGTGACATGTAATCCAGCAAAGTTTTTCCCTTTCTAATATTTATTTTGATGATATTGAGGCAGACTTTAAGTACTATTCTATATTTTATTTTTATTAAAAGATAAATTTGTTTTTATTGGTGATTGGTGCTGTGATGCTCAATTGTAATTGATAATTTAGGTTCATGCAAAATTGATATTGTTTGGTTATTCCTTAAATACTTTTTAAGAACTCTATATCCCAGTGGATGGAAATATGATTGTAAGCACAATAAATTTCCTCACCTTTAAAAATACCTGTTTCTTGCAAGGTGAAACAAACTCAATGAGTCAGTAAATGTTTTTTCAAGTTAGTATTTTCTTGATGTAGGATTCTTTAGTTGTTGATGAAGTTCCAAGACTCATGAGATATTATCATACACATACATACTCAAATGCATCACCAATTTTTTGATTCAATAAGAATCTAGTTACTCAAGTTTCTCTATGCTACACCAGTATTGTAAAATATAGAAAAGGAACACATAAAGAATGATCAAAATTTTATGGTAAGAAATGATTTCTTCACAACGTTAACTACGATCTTGATATGATGACAGATTTAGTTGAAGTAATCAGCAATGTGGAAAATGCCTGCATGTTTGATTCCTACAACATTTGAAACTTCTAACATGGTCTGCTTCTCCCCAACAGAAGGGAAACACTGCCCTTCACATCGCATCTTTGGCTGGACAAGCGGAAGTCGTGAAGGTTCTTGTTAAGGAAGGAGCCAATATCAATGCCCAGTCGCAGGTATTCCATTCGGACTCTCTAATGTAAATGAAAATAAATCAGGACATGTTGTGAAAATCATGTAATGGATTTAGCTAGCTATTTACTACAGTTGCTCCTTTGCTTATTTTAAACAAAGTATTTTATGAATTTACAACATAAAGTTTCTTATTTTTTTAAATCTAACTGAACACTTAATAAGAGTCTATGGTTGTATTTATAAAGTTTAAGAAGAATATGAAGTGGTGTTTTTCAGAATGACAGCAACATCTGTGATATATAAATTATTCATACAAGTTCCATCTTGCTTTATAAAAATATTTTCTCTCTTTAAACTTAGAAAATTTTCAAAAGATTAGCATTCAAGTAGCAAATCTTCTTTAAAGTTAGAATCACACAATTACAGTTTTTTTCATATTCCAAAAGTGGGCTTTACTAAAATGCCTAGGGAATAAGAAAATCTAATCGCCACAGGCTTATGTTATACACAATAGTAGTATATCATAGATTTAAAATAGAATTAAGAAGAAGTTTAAAAAGTTTCATCAAAATTATACTATAAATTTGATCCCTGAGTTTTTAACCATATAAAGTGGAAGAAAATATTGTTTTATTCAAAAGTTTTCTTTTAATATTCATCACGTATATATGTAGGAATTGAGTTTTGTATCTTTATAACAACATTCATTTCTTCTATCTTTTGTTATTATTTTTTGCTTTTAGCGTAAGCCGTATCAGTGGAGATACTGACAAAATATACGATTCCTTTCTATTCTTTAGGATAACTATCAGCTTATGTTTGAAATATATATTACCTATGTTGTGTGACATGTTGCAGTAAGATTCATGAAGTGTTTGGGCAGGTAGCGTGGCAAGTTTGCCACATCCCTATCTCGTTTTAGAGTGCATGGGATTGAGTCTCACTTCTGCTTCTGATTGAGCTTCCATCTAATGTGCACCATAGGAAGCAGCAAATGTCTACATCACATGTGCAACTCAGTATTGTGTTTATAAAAACATAGAAGTGAATGCCTGGCTAAATTCAATGTAATATGAAGTAAATCATAGTGTTTATCGTAAATTGGATTGCTTTCAAGAGCTTTCAAGGAGAATAAGCTAGATTCATTCAATTAGTGATTTGTTTTTAGGGCCAAGAAGGCCTTTCTATTAGCCATAACTATGCCAGATTCTTAACAGCTCTTAAAAGAGAGTTTGTATCATCCAGTCCTTGGAGTGCCCTAGAAGTCATTCCACATCCACTAAACACTCCCTTGGTGGCCTCAACTGTCACATATCCCCAACCCACTTTCCATGCCTAGGAAATTACAGCTCCCTACTCCTCATGTTCCTGTGGCATCAATGTCAGCTTGCTGTCAGCTTCCACAATGGCAAAGTGGCATGAGGCCATCTCCTTGTTTGATTAATTTTATAACACATAAATCTGATTGACTTAGAGACATGACTTTTAAAAATTATTCCTGTTTGATATTGTTATAAGGAATTCATTCAATGAGAGTATTTTAAAATGTTTTCACAGATTTGAGTTTCTTTATCTGTTGACATTTACCTGTCTCAGATTTATTTTTTAATGTTTATCTGTAATTTCTTCAGAGTTGGAGATGTGAGCTCAGATGATTTTTTTAAACTTGCTAGTGTTTTAGGATTTTGCCTAACTCCTTGCACATACATGATTGGAGAGCATTTATATACATTCACTTTATGTATAAGAATTTATTTTGTTGCATATTCCAATAATCCTAACAGTAGGCATTAATATGCTAATAATATAAGTAATAGTGATGACTTCCAGGTACTATCTTTAGCACATTATATACATTATTGATTTACTGATGACAAATTAAAACTCAGATGATTTATTTACTTTGTCCCGGATAGCATTGCTTCTCTTGGTTTCCATATGAGATCTACCTTCATTACATACTTCAAACAAAAATTTTAGAATTTGTTGTTCTCCTAGCCCACACCGTATTCAGGACCCTGTTCAGGTCAAAATAAGTTGATTCTTGTGAGTATAATGCATGCAAAAGATTTAGCATAGACATTTTTGTTGCTATTATTTATGTACTATAAATATTATAGATCTGCAAAATGTCTTAAATATGGCTGGCTTTGTTACTACTACTACTGAAAAAGTTGACCTTTGCAGTCCGCCTCTTAAATTTCTCTACAAAAAATATGACCTTTAATTCTCATCAGACAATATTTTTATTTGGATCTTTACTCCCTATATATAGGCTAATTAGATGAGAATGATCTTTGCAATCAGGCAAAGTTGCCTTAAAACATTTATCTATTTATTTTTGTTTTTAAAAAGCAGACTAGTTTGTGTTATGTATAGTCTTCACAACTAAAAAAAATTAAAACTAAAGTGAATCCTACTTTGGGTACTGTCTCAACACAGTACAGACTAAGCTAAGTTGTAGAATATTGGTATAATAAAGCTCCCCATCCTTTAGGAAATTATTCTTTTTATTAGAAAAAAGGACAGTAGAATATTAGCCCTTAAAAAAAGAAAGTCTTGGAACATGGATGCAAGCTCATTAAGGGCATTATGAATGAATGAGTGAATGAATAAATGAATGAAAAGAGGGAGGAAGGAGGGAAAGAAGGAAGGAGAGAGGAGAGGAGAGGAAAAAGAGGGACGGAAGGAAGAAGAGAGAAGATGGGAAGAAGGAGGGGGGAAAGAGAATAGAAGAGAGGAGGGAAAATGAAGAGAATGAAGGGAAGAGAGAAGGGGAGAGGGGAGAGACAGGGAGACAGAAAGGCTAAAAGCTCTTATGAGGGTCTGGCATTATGGTTCAGCAAGTTATGCCTGCAATTGAATGCCTCCATTGCACATTGGAGTGTCTATTTGTATCCTTGCTCCTGATTTCCAGTTCAGCTCCCTATTAATGCATCCTGTGAGTCAGAGGACAATAGCTGCAGTACTTGAGTCCCTGCCATCTGGGTGCGACACCCAGATAGTGTTGTTGGCTCCTGGCTTTAGCCGGCCCAGACCCTGCTGCTGCAACCATCTGGGGAGAAAACAGCCAGTGGAAGATCCCTTTCTTTCTTCCTCTCTGTGCATTATTATCTTTTGAATTGAGAAACAAATCTTAAAAACAAACAAAAGCAGATCTCATGACACTTCTCAAGAATTATGCATCTAGGAAGTTTAATTTTATCAGAAAGATTCCAGCTGTCAGCAGACTATAGTCACAGAATAATATCCTGCATTAAACTTGTAATTTCTTGAAGTTTTTCCTTTTTTGTAAGAGAGGCATTGGGCCAGGGTTTTGAGGGTTAGTGGAGGAGAAGTGCTACTCCCCAGTTGCCAAACTATCCAGAATAGGAGTGGCTGGCTGGGGCTGGAGCTGGGGGCTGGGAACTCCATCTTGGTCTCTTACATTATGTGGCAGAAGCCCTAGTTACTTGAGCCATCACTACTGCCTCACTATGTCTGCATTGGTAGAAAGCTGAAATATGATGCCAGAACTCTGAGCTGTCCCCAGGCACTCATTTGTGAGGCAAACATCCTAACCAACAGCTCAGCCACTTGGCCATAGGCTCATCCCAAGGCTAATTTCTACTTGTACTTCAATTTGTTTCTAAATTTTATTCTCTCTTTAGGTGGATCACCAATGATTAGTCCCACCTTAGATAATGTACAAGTTTAAGGCACCAGTACAAAAACTCATATTATATAACAAATTAATGTTGCAACCACAAATCCATGTTTATTTGGTATAGACAGACATTTTTCCTGCAGCAGAATTCACAGTTTCCAATTAAATTGCTTTTATACCTTCAGCTGTCTCTGTGGAAATTCAACCTCTTGCTTACCTCCCATAAGAGCCACATCTCCGACTTAAACCCCATCAACTCTTTGCTTGTCTTAATGCTGAGATAACTAAAACTTCTTAAAAGAACTAGGTAGATAGTAAAAGGCAGGGTTTTAGGTACCCGTTGGCTTCCTTTAACCATTCATTGTTTTAAACCATTCTTTTTTTTTTTTCATTTTATGACACAGTTTCATAGGCTCTTGTATTCCCCCAACTCCTCCCTGAGCCCTCCCCCCATATTGAATTCATCCATATTGTTACAGTAGTACAGTTCATAACCAGTCATGATTCCTTCCTTGTGGGCATATCATGCAGAGAGTCCACATCTTATCGTCCAGATAAATTCAACAGTTTCATTGGGAGACCAGCTTTGGTCTGAAAGTAGAGCTGGCAGAATATCACCCCCTGCAATGAAAAGCCACTACACAACTTCAACAACAGGAAGACACATGGAAATTTACAACATCATGAAGTTAATTAACATGGTATCGAGTGACTAATATGTTAGAAAATGCAAGTTCTTAACCACAACCTGTAACTACTTCATTGACATCTCAATTTTAGTTTGTACACAACTGGCTGCTACAAACTTAAATATGGTTATAGGGTACTATTCAGTTGTTTCATGTCTATTTTTACTTTTATGTTTAGCAACTTATAGTATTCAAGTGTGATTTTTATTGAACTTCACGAATTTTAGGATAGCCCAAACAGGCTCTTAACTGTAACAAGCCATATGTTAACAATTGAGAAGCAGAACAGTTTTAGGAGGGGTGTGCAGAGAAATCTTCAATACCTCAGTGAGGAGTAACTGATCTTTGTGTCCTACCTAATAAGGTATATGGGAGTCCAAGCTGACTGTTTCCTGTCTGTTCTAAGCTTTGCTTATTGGTCTCTGTCTATCTGATCTAATTTTGGGGGCTACAGAGTGACCCTGATAGTCATTGCAAGAGAGGGTGGTGAGCCAAAGTTGGAACTAAGTAAGGACCAGAGAAAGCTCCTCTCCCTAGTCCCGAAGGAAGTTTACTGTTCTGTTTCTGCAGACTGCTCAGGGCTCCTGGCTATTGTTCTCATGACATTAGATCCTGTGAGGAAGGATATGGGCTTCTTCCATCCTTTCTGGGAGATCCGATAGGGAATGGTTGACCTCAGAGTTCTCGGCCTATGAGGGCACTCCAA